TGAACGTGTGAAATATTAGTTACACTTGCAAATCCCATTTGAGTACAAAATGATGCCTGGGACTATAATGTCAAGCACTTTGATGAAAAGAGTCCACTGAATGTCATTCTCTACAATTCTGGTTCCCAGAGCTCACATTTCCAGGGGCTAAGCTGACCACAGAGGTAATCGGCGAAGGTTTTCCATTCAGAGGAATTAACCTTGTCTAAAACACTTAACTTCTCAATGATGAAAATGCATTCCTTCACAATTAGTATCAAGAAATCATTTCCAACTTGATACTATTAATCGAAACCAGATGTTTACTTTTTTTTATTGATTGAGGTATTCATATTCCTACTTTGTGACCCCTCCTGATTTCTAGAACATTTTACACTCTCATGTCTAGAGTTATGAGGCAAATCCCTCTACAAATCCATCAATACCTAATAGGAAGAGAGTTCTTTTTGCTGTTTCATTACTTAGAGATGGAAAAACAGGCCACCTCTGAACAGTTTTACTAAATCTCCAAGGCCAAGAAACTGATAAAACAACAACAATAACAACAACTGATCTAGAAACAGGAATTTCTTTCTAGACTGAATCTCAAAATTTTAGCCAGTTATCTGCACTCTAGTTATGACTTAAGAACAAAGCTATAGTGGAAAAAGCACTGAATTAGGAGTCAGCCTATTGTCACTTCTACCTCCTTATGTGACTCTATAGCTTCCAGATTTTAATTTCCTGCCCTGTCAATTGAAGAAAACACCCTACCTACCTCAAAGGGTTGTTGTGAGGATGACACTGAGATCATGCCTATGAAAGTGCTTTAAAAAGATAAGGTACTATAATACGTTATAGCCAGCCTTTATATAGTGCTTTAAGGTTTGCAAAGCACTTTACATTTATTATGTCATTGGAGCCTTGTGAGGTAGGTACTATTACTGTCCTTATATGATGAGAAAATTGAGAATGAAAGATATTAAGGGCCTTGATGAAAGATCACAAAACTCGTAAATGTTTAAGGGAAGACCTAAAGTCAAGTATTTATTGTTAACATTAATTATTAAAAACATTAATGACAACCTAGTATTTGGAACACTGTGATTTTTTTAGCTAACTTGTACACTAGTCAAATTTCTAAAAAGAAGACTGAAATTTTTCATCTTGTTGAGTCCAAGCTATGCTCCTAACAGCACAATTCAAATAACAACAACTCCATGAAGCATTCCCTGCTTCTCCCAGTCTTTAATGGACTTTCCCCAATATGGTCCTCATGTACATAGCACTTTGTCTCATATACGTGTATACTACTTTATAATATTGTTACCTGAGCAACTGTCACATTTCTTGACTTGATTCTAAGCTTCACTGGAGCAATGATTAAGCTTCATCCAAAATCCTCATTTCTCCTAGCACCTGCCACTAATCTGTACATAATAGATGCTTACTATTGAATGGAAATTCTATCCTTTATCAAGCCACAAAACAGGTATGAAAAGTATACCGTATAGTATAACAAAGATCATAAACTGTGGAATGGCTAAACAAGCTATGGTATATGAATGAGATGGAATACTACTGTGCTATAAGAAATGATGAAGAAGATGGTTGCAGAAACACCTAGGAACACTTGTGTGAACTAATTCAGAGTGAAGTTAAAAGAACCAGGAGCACAAACTTGTATAGTAATGGCAATATTTTAAAAATAATCAACTTGGAAAGACTTAGTAACTCTGAAAAACACAATGACCAATTGCAATTCCAAAACTCATGATGAAACATACTATCCACCTCCAAAAAGAGAACTGATGAAGACTAAATCATTTTCTTCTATTTCTCTTTTTCTTGCTTTTTTTGGGAATATGGCTAAAATGGAAATTTATTTTGCATGATTATACCTATTTGTAATGGTTCTGTTTTTCTTCTCTTCTCAATGGGTGGGTAATGGGGAGGGAAGCGGGACAGAATTTGGAACGGAAAAGAAAAGAAAATTGAATGAAAAGAAAAACAAAAACCCCCCAAACACACACACACAATAATACATGGGGGGGGGGGTACAACTTGTAGTTTACCTGACTTGATTATTCTTCCATCTATCACAAAGACTCTCTTGTTTTTTAGTAGAAAGAGAGGGTAACCAATATCTGGGGTAAAAGATCTAACTTGTTTAGACAAAATAGAGGGCTAATGAATAAGCCATTTTATCCCCTAAGGCCACTGGACCTTTTTTGCATAATGGATCTCTTCGAGAGTCTAGGTGAAGCAGTGGATGGAGTTCAAATATGACTTCAGACACTAGCTGTATGACCCTTGGGAAAGTCACTTAACTTCTGTCTGCCTCAGTTTCCTCAACTGTAAAATGAGGATAACAGCATCTACCTCTCAGGGTTGCTGTGAGGATCAAATGAGATAATAATTGTAAAGCTCTTATCATAGCACCTAGAACATAGTAAATGATATAAAAATGTTTACTCTCTAACCTCTCCCCAACCCCCACTTCCCACCCCCCAGTCTGTGAAACCTATCTACCTCTCCATAGAATAATGCTTTTAAATTAATAAAATACACAGAATTACAAAGAAAATGCCTGGGGTTAGGAGATGGAAAATCTCATTTGAGGAACAAGAAGTAGACCAGTGTCACTGGATTGTAGGCTGTGTGGGGGGGATAGAAGGTGTAAAAAGACTGGAAAAGTTGGGAAAGGGGACAGCTTCTGGAGGGCTTTGCTGGCCAAACAGAGGATTTTATATTTGACTCTGTAACAGGAAGCCACTGGATTGATTAAATACATGGGTGACATGGTCAGATTTGTGCTTTAGGAAGATTAATTTCACAGATGAGCAGAGGATTACAAAGGAAATCAATTATATTGAAATATAGCTATCAAAATACTTTAAATTCAATCAGTATCAAATTCAATTCAATTCAATATCAACAAATGAGTTCAGAGGCTCCAGCTTCAGAACCCTGTCCTACTTGCCAAGTCTGGTCATTTCTACCATTGTAGCATCTTTCATATAAGCTCCCTTCCCTCTGCCACTGCCACTACCTTGGTGCAGGCCCTTATCACCTTACAACTGAGCTACAAAAATAGCCTTCTGGTTGGTCTCCTTGCTTCAAGTCTCTCTCCATCCCACTGCATCCTCTACTCATCTGTCAAACTATTGACTTCTTCCAATTCATCCTGTACATAACTTGTACATACATAACTTGTTTACATGTTGTCTCCCCAACAAATTGTGAGCTCCTTGAAGGCAGGGACTGGTTTTTGCCTTTTAGCACAGTGCCTGTAACATAGGAGGCAATTAATAAAGGCTTACTGACTAGGAGAAGCAAAGAAGACAATAGTGAAAAGAGGAAAAAAAACCTGGCTTTTTTCTGCCACCAAAATTTTTGAGAGGAAGGATAAATATGGAAGATGATTGAATTAGAAGGCATGTTAGAGATTATCTTGTCCAACAGATGCTTCAGAATCTGTGAAGCCTGTGGCTTTAGAGTTGGGATATGGCTACAAAGATTCCCACTTAAGTTAAAGACAGTATAATCCACGCCAGGCAGAACCGTTAGGGAATGAATCATTTTGGAGAGCAAAGTTCTAGGTAGCTGAGGATTTACTCCTTTTTAGTCACTAAACTTAAACAATTTTTAAATTGGAAAGAAAATGTACTTTTTCAAGTCATCAATTGAAAAAAATTGTTAGTACTATAAGACATCCTTTACAATCAGCATCAATTAACCAATAACTGAACAAACATGCCATTAATTTCCAATGCAAATTTCCAATTTGAAATCATCTACATCTAAAGCAGAAATAAGGAAGGAACAAAATTGTACTACATTTTAACACAATAAAAAAAGCAACCATTTATATAGTTCTTTAAGGTTTACAGAGCACTTTCATAAATCTACAAATTACCTAATTTTATAAAATCAAACCAAAACCTACCTCATTTCTTTTGTGTCTCTTTGCAAATGGTTATGTACTTATAAAGAACTACGTATGTGTCAAGTTTCATTAATTTTGTTTTTGTTTTCATATCTATCTATATATAATGTGTATGTACAACTGTCTTTGCTTTGTTTGCATCCCTTCATATGCAGTGAGGGGCAGCATGGTATGGAAGACTAGGGAGTCAGGAAGATCTGGGTTTAAATCCTGCCTAGGACACTTACTAGCTATGTTATCCTAGGTAAGTTACTTAACTTCTCAGAGTCTCAGCTACCTTATCTGTAAAATGAGGGAGGTGGAGTAGATGGCCTGTGAGGGTCCTTCTAGTTCTAAAACCTATGATCCTATGACAGGAGATATCACATGCTTCCTTGACTTGAAGAGTAGACTAAATAAATGTAGCCTTTTCTTGAAAATTCAGGATCATCACTATGAAAATCAAGTAACAGAATTACAGAACATTAGGGTTAAAAGGAATCTTACAGATTATATAGCCAAAGCTCCTCATTTTCTAGAGGGCATTGTGCTATCAATAGCAAATTGATGCCCTTGGGGCCTATTAAGGAATGACTATAGGACTGTTTGCCTTTACATTAAATGGACCCAACTGTCATCTGGAGTTGAAAGGACTTTGATTAAAATTCTGTGTAAAAAAAGCCAGGAGAAGAAATTGGCTTTGAGAATGAGTCTGTTAAGTGTCTGAATTGTGTGTGTGTGTGTGTGTGTGTGTGTTTTACTTGTGGCAGCTTTTCCAATGGCTCGGGGCGGGGGGGGGGGGGGCCCTTCGGTTTCTT